AGGCTGAGGCAGGAGGATTGCAAATTCAAACCCAGCCTGGGCAACTTAGCAATTCAGTGAGACCCTGTGTCAAAATAAAAAATAAAAACAAAAAGTTATAGGGCTGGGGATTTAGCTCAGTGGCACTCTGCCTGCCTCACAAGTGCAAGGTCGTGAGTTCAATTCCCCGTACCAAAAGAAAAAAAAGTTACAGCAGATATCATTTGTAGTGGTGAAACACTAAAACTTTAACCTCAGAACATAGCAGGTTATATACACAAATACTTCTACTCAATGTGGCACAGTGAAGGCCAGTGTGGTGAGACAAGAAAAGAATTAACAAAACCATTCTTGAGAAATGCCAATGAGAAAATATATCCTTCAAATTAAAGTAATCTCTGCATAAACACCCAGATTACTGACTTCCAAAATTAACCGAAGTGCTGGGCGTGGTGGCACACCCTAGAATCCCAGCACTCGAGAGGGGCCGAGGCAGGAGGACCGCTGAGAGTCGGAGACCAGGCTGGGCTACATTGTGAGTTCAAGGCCTGCCTGAACTACACAGAGAAACCCTGGGTCAAAAAAACAGAAGACAAACAAACAAAATCAACTAAAGGCTTGGGTGTAGTGGTGCATTCCTATAATCCCACCTATTTGGGAGGCTGAGGCAGGAGGGGCATCTGGGCCCTGGAATTCAAGGCCACTCTGGGCAACATAGTGAGACCCCAAAAAACAAAATAAAAAATTCTAAATGGCGGTTCTAGTCCCAAAGCAGTGGTTGGCAGTGCAGCCTGGTGGCACAGGGCCCTGTGTCCCACCTTCCATACCAACAAAAAACAAAACAAACACGATTTCTAGATATCAGCGACTGACAACAAAAGTCGACTTTCACTGTGACATATAAAACACAAGCACTTAGGCATCGTCTACCAAGGCGAGTACGTCACAGAGGCTTGTCGAGCAGGTGTGTTCACGAGGAAAACGGGCCACCTTCCCACCAGCTCTGAGTCAAGAAATTCCCTTATAAACCACGCAAGGCTCTGTGGGGAGCCAGAGGAGATGCTTCCAGAAGTCACACAGGCACTGCAAACCCCACCTCATGCTCTGCTCATGATGAATCAGGATGAGTACTGCACCTACACACAAAAGCCAAAACCATGAAACTGCTGGAAAGATACCTTTGTGGCCTTAAGAGTACTTAGCTTTACAGTGGGGATTTAGCTCAGTGGTTCTGCAGCCTGCCTCACAAGCGCAAGGTCCTGAGTTGGATCCCCGGCACCGGAAAAAAAAAAAAAAGAGTACTTAGCTTTGAAGACACAGAAACAACTAACTAAAACACTAGGCCTCACCAAAATTAAAAACTTCTGCTCATCAAAACACAAGGTGAGCCAAGCACAATGGCTCACACGTAATCCCAGCTACTCAGGAGTCAGGAGGATCCCAAATTCAAGTCCAGCCTATGTTAGCCTGAAGCAACAGCAAGCCTCTGGTCTCAAAATTTAAGGGGTGGGGGTGTTGGAGATGTAGCTCAGTACTAAAATGTTTGCCTAGCATGAGAGACACCCTGAGTCAATCCCCAGTAAACAAAAAGGAAAAAAAAAAAACCACGAAAAAATGAAGAGACAAACCACACACAAGGAGAAAACGTTCACAATCTGTGTATCTGACAAAGGACTCCCTCAATCCAACCACAAAAAGACAGAGACTCCCCAATTAAAGTGCAATTCAGCCAGGCCGCACGCTTCTAATCACAGCACTGGGAGGCTGAGACAGGAGGATCAAAAGTTTAAGCATAGCCTGGACAATTCAGCGATGTAACAAATGATACTATGTTTAAAAAAAAAAAAAAAAAGGCGTGAGGATGTAGTTCAGCAGCTAGTACTACAAAAGAAAGATGGAGGAAAGGAGGCAGGCAGATGGGCTGGCCCTGCACTTCATACACAGGAAAGAGCAGCCAGTGGCAGGGAGATTGTGCTCCGCACCACAAGGCCCAGGCTGCGAAGCACCCAGCCCTCCACCCATAGGAGTGCATATGGCAGAACTCACTCTGACCAGGGAATAGTATGCAGTGATGAAAAGGAAAGGGTAGGTTACAGAAGTAGAATGGCCTGGTGCTGGTTGATAAGCAGGCAAGGGAACCCACACGTGGCCTCCTGGACAGATGGATGGCACTGTCTATGGAGGGTGGCAGCATCAGAGCTGACTGGGGAGGGACACAGGACCTCTCTGGGGTGACAGAAACATGCTGAGTCTCCAGCTCCTGCTGTATGGAATGAACCCGGGCTCCCTCAGTGCACTAACATCAGCCAGGAGACCAAAGGGGTAAGGATCGCACAAACGCACTGAACAGTCAGTTTAGAAAGGAACTCGAGCCTCAGTAGGAGACAAAATCAGGTGGGAGTTCTGGGTCCAAAACAGCAAAGGCTGCTGAGGATGGGGAACGAGGAGCAAAGGCAGTGTCAACCACACCTGGCAGAAGGTTCAGTGGGCCATCAGGGTGGCAGTGCTGCTGTACCCAGGCTCCCAGAGGGACACTAGGACTTGGCCTTCCCTCTGGTAGAGTGCCTGGCACAACTCCCTGGGGTCAGAGAACTCTGCTGCCAGCACCAACACCAAACCAACACCAAAGTTAGCAGAGATAAACAGGGACCACAGAGGGGGCACGAACCCCAGAGTGACCTGAAGGATCACAGAGGGTGGACAGACCCAATCTGACCTAAGGGATCACAGAAGGCTGTGAAAGAGGACAGAGACATCCACAATTGGAGGAGGGAGCTTTCAACATACATAGTTTCCCCCACAGAAGCTGCTGAGATTCAAGTAGGAAAACAAAGAAATAAAAATTGGCAGAAGAAATAAACAGGAATTTCACTGACAAGGAAGTACACATGGCCTAGATTAGTAATCAGGAAAACTCAAGTTAAAACCACAATACCACTTCATACCCACCAGACTGGCAAAAATTAAGTCATGCATGTTGGCAAGAATGTGGAGCACTGGGGACTCTCACCTCCACTGGCGGGGCCCAGGCTGGCAACAATGCTCTGGGAAGCCACTGGGTGGCCACACTGAGCTGCACACACATGCTCTGCACCCCACATCCTAACACCCGGTGATAGGAGGCCCTGCCATCACAGGGAGAGCTGTCCAGGCAGGAGATGGGGACCAGGATGTCTATACGGCAGGTTTGTAATTAGCCATGAACTGAAATCAAGTCAAACGTCCCTTGGCACCAGCAGAGATGCAGTGGTGTCGTCCCAGAGAATACTACACAGCAGTGAACACGTCACCAGCCGCCCTACAAACGCAGCTCAGAGGGCTAATTACTGGGCCACACGGGGAGAACGGTGCCGCTGACAGAAAGTCCCAGATGAGCAGCAGACTGTCACTGTCTAAGTGTGTACACCTGTGATGCAAGCACACAGCAGAGCCCCCCACACACAAGGCAGGACAGGTGAGGGGTGGCTCAGAACTGAAGCTGTGCACTCTCTGTCACCCTGGACTCGCCCTCCATACCAGACCCAGCCCACTATCCTGTTGGCCCTTCCTCCCTCCTCAGCCCAGGCAGAGCCCCGATCATCCCAATACCCAATGCCACTCTCACCCCAGGGGTCCCACCCTGCCACCTGCCCTGCTCCCGTGCCTTCCTTTCTAGACTCCTTAAGAACAGAGCCTGACAGTGCCCCTAGCCACACTCTTCCACCTCTGAGAGGTTAAAGACTTCAGTTCTAGCCTGGTGCCATGACATGCTCTGCCAGTCCCAGCCACGTGGGGCTGAGGCAGAAGGCATGCTTGAACCCAGGAGTTTGAGACCAGTCTGGGCAATACAGTGAGACCTAGTCTCAAAAGTCTTTGGTCCTCACTTGGGCACCCCAGCCAAAGGCAGCCAGGTGAATCTTCTGTGGGACCCTCACAAGCGGGGATATGCTGGCACAGGAGGTCCAGGGGCTGCAGGGGCTGGTGATGCAGAGGAAGAGACAAGAGGTGTGGGGCTTGGGAGATGCTCCTGGGTTTGGGTTCGAGGTAAGTGTTGACTCAAACAGGGACACGAGTCCTCCTGGGGGCTGCACCAGGTGTGGGAGTCCCACAGAGCATCAGTCTTGCCTTTCCTAGCCCTGTGCTGCAGGGGGGCAAACCTATTGGCTGGTGCCCTCTGCATCCCCCACAACACACTCAGAAACGGCGTGTGATGTGCCCACTTGCAGGGAAACTCAAGGCCAGAGTCCCATGCGCGCTCCTGGGCCGCACTGCCTCCTGAGGTTCCCTTGCCCACACACACCTCTGCGCCCCTCTCTCAGCCTCCTGTCTATTCCTGAGCCAGAATCCTGCGGGACGGCGTTGGTCTCCCCCTCCGCCTGGGAGCTCCTGATCAGGAACCAAGTCAAGAAAAAAACCACAAAAGTTTCAAGCTGTGTGGGAGAAACCAAGAAGCTGCCAGTCCTCTCCACCATGGCTACCCAAGGCTCGGGCCCTGCGGGTGAGCCTAGTCCAGTCCTTGCTAATGGAGGGGTGGGCGGCCACCTACCAAGTGCAGGGCGGTGAGCCTTTACAAAGGCAAAATTAGCAGCTCCAGGCAAAAAGCACTGAGGTTCAGAAGATTCCTCTACAGGGCCAGGCCAGGCCAAAGCTAAGGAGAGGACCGACCTGGCTTGGCCCGCAGGACGAAGGGGCGGCCTGAAGCCCTCCAGACAAGGGACACCGTGGTTCTTTGCTGGCTGTGGCTGTCCTCTGACACCGCGCCCGAGGGTCACTCCCAGGCCTCGAGGCTTGACAGTGCCCGGAGGAGAGGGAAACTGCGGTCCCCGGCTGGCACCTCGCGCGCGCGCCAGAGGCAGGTGTCAAGGGGGAGGCTGGGCGCGGGCCAGGCTCCCCGGGCAACCTGACCCAGAGCCCCGACCTGATCAGACCCGGGCAGCCCCGACCCGGGGCCCCCGCGGGCGGGGCTCTCGGCATGGGTGCGGGCAACGACAGGCCTGGAGGGGCAGGTGTGCGCGGACAAAGCGCGGAGCGCAGGCGCGTACCTGGGCACACAGCTGGGGCTGGAGCCGTCCACCTCCCAGGTGGCGAACAGGTTCATGGGCACCGGCGTGTTGAGCGCGCCCGGCGCGCCGGGGAGGCCGAGGCGGCCCCGCTCGGCCATGGCACCGGCCCCGCCGTCCCTCGGCGGCCTGGGGCTGCGCCGGCCGCGGGCGCGCGGCGGGCTGGCGGGCGGTGGCGGGAGGGGCCGGGCTCGAGGGAGGGCGCGGCGCGGTCACATGGCGCCGGGGCCAGGGGCGGGGGGCGGACCGGAGGGCGGTGTCAGGGAAGCACCGTCCCACCACGCCGAGCAGCGCCGCCAATTGGCCGTGCGTGCACCTCGGGCCCAATCACCTCCCGCCGGAAGTGAGGTCCCGCGCCCCCTACGGGCTGCCCCCGGCGCGGCGGCGGGAGCGCGCAAAAGCGCGCCTGCGCACAGACCCTTCCCGGCGCGCGCCCGCCCCGCCCCCTGGGACGGCCGTGAGGTCCGTGGGGACTGGGGCTGGGTGCGCCAGGTGGCACGCCCGGTGCCCTGTCTCTCGCGCCTTCTGCTCCTGGCGCCGTGTCCCTGGCCGTCCCACGTGTCCCCCACCTGACTGTGGGCCTCGGCGCATCCCCGCCCGCGTGCACCCCAGTGTCCCCCGGCGCCTCCCGTCCCCGCCGTCCCGCGCGTCCCCCTCATCCCTCTAGGCCTCTGTGACCCCTGTTTGGGCCTGGATTCCCCCCACCCCAGCCCCATCCCTTCGTCTGGGTCCTTGTGCCCGCGGCTGCTCCTGGCTCGCAGGGCGGTGGCAGGCGGCACTACCGGGACACCCAGCTCCAACTCAGGTCCTCCCCGATCCAGCTTCCTCCCCTTGCTTTTCTGGGTTTTACTGAAATCTATGAGAACAAGTCCCAGAACAAGGACCTCAGGCTGGGACTGACAGGGAAATGGAGACCCAGGCCAGCAGCAGGCCTGGGGACCTGAGTGGGCCAGGGAGGCTCTTGTGTTCTGGGCTGGGACGGTGGTGCTTTCACCTTCCCCTGCTCTTGGTGAGTCTCCGGCCAAAGTCAATAGATGTAGGAAAAGCTTTTCTCGCATGTCTTACTTCTTTGTGTTTCCAGCTTTACACAGTTACTTTCTCCTCTTCCTGCCTGTGTCTTGTCTACAAGTAGCTTTGTTTAAATAATCCCAGCCTGAGCCAGCCAGCTTTGAACCAGCTGTCTCCCTGCCCCTGGGGGTCACTATGACAGCCCCCGCCCCCACCCATGTGGCCCTCCTCCTGCTAAGGCTGGGCTGCTGGACCTTGCTCTGTCAGAGGCAGCCTCCCGCTGCAACGCGAGGATCTGAGAGGCAAACAGCTGTGCCTGCTTGAAGTCAGGGTCCCACTTGGAGAGAACAAGGGGACTTGTGTTCCCCGAACACTGCCTCCTCCTTCGAGTGGTGCAGCTAAAAGCCACGAGGGTCTGTCTGTCTGCAGCCAGCTGCCCGGGGTATTGTCTCATGCTGTGGCCCTCCCCTGCCTGCACCTAGGAGATGAAGCCTCTGTTCGGAGGGCCACAGCAGCCCTGTGGGGACAGGCAGCCTTTCATGGGGGACAGAGGAAAGGCCTCAATGACCTCAGCCACTGGTGTGCAGCGCTGAGACAGGACGGGTTGCTGTTGCAGGCCGATGAATGGGCTTCCTGATACCTCGTGTCTGTGTGTGCCAGGCAGCCAGCACAACCAACCAAGGATCAAGAAGGAGATGTAGGGTGACTGAGCCAAGCACTGGGGCTTGAAAACAGCGCCCTGCTCAGTACCAGGCACCACTGTGAGTCCTCAATGGTTGTGTTATTACTGTCCATCCCATTTGACAGAGGAGGAAACTGAGGCACACGAGTTTCTGCCCCTCCACTTCAGAGGAACCAGGGTGAGGACCCACTCAGTCTAGGCTGGCATTGCCCCAAGTGATTAGTTCCTATGGTTGCAGAGGGCACAAGCATGCCATGCACACACATGCACCAGTGGTGGTGGGGGGGTCTTCTCTGCATTTCCAAGGTAGGCAGAGTACACCAAATAAGGTACTTTTTTTCCCCAAAAACCTGTTGTTTGCACTCTTGTCCTCTGAGTTTCAGAATGCTGCTGTGTTGCTCCTCCTCTTGCAGACTTCGGTGCCCAAAAAGCCAAGAGGTCCCCCTTTCCAGCAGCCAAGTATGGTGTGACACCCCTAGTCTAGAGTTTGGAGCACTTCCCCACAACTTTCTTAGAAGAAAAACTTGGTTCAGAATGAATAATGCAGTTGGGGAGGAGCTCCCGGAAGAAAGTCCTTAAAGTCCTGGGGCTCAAGTCACCCTGAAACCCTCCTGAAAACTGTTATCGTGCTGCCTGTCCACTTAGGTTTTTTTTTTTTTGGTATGGGGGATCGAACTCAAGTCCTTGCGCTTGTGCAGCAGGCAGCAAAACCACTGAGCTAAATCCCCGACAGGTTTGTTTTTAATAAATCAAAGCCTTGAGGTTCCAAATGGTTTGTAGGACTTTTGCAGTGAGAAAGAGGAAAGCCCCAATCCCTAGGCAGTTGAGCACGGCATAGGCACTAGTCCCACTGGCTGTCATGGGGTCTCCTCAGCCTGTGGGTCAAGGTGTGGGCATTTCTAGCTGGGCACTTAGAGTTTGGGATTTCATCCATCCACACAGCTAAGATGACACAAACTCAGGGTGGGGATGGGATGCAGGTGAGGTAAGCTTGGCTGCTGCTTGAACAGAGCCTCTCTCCCGGTGGGGAACCTTGACTGTCTCCAAGGTACAGGGACCATGGTGACCCAGATGCCCCTAGGTGTGCCAGGTGCTCAGCAGTGACATGAGCTGGCTCAGCCCCCTACTTCCCTCCCTCAAAAAGGACCCTGACTCCCTGCCCTTCCTCTGGAGCAGCCCCAGGCCCTCAGGTGAGTGGAGGACACCACATGCTAGCGGTTCCTCTTGCTGAGAAGCAGTTCTGGAGGGGACAGGTCCCTGGCCAGCCACTCTGTGGCAGAGACAGAACTGCCAAGAGTCCTAGGTGTGGCCTGCCACACCTTCTGCCATGTGCAAGTCGTCAATGGCCCAGGCCCCTGACACTGAACAGGGGAGGAACTTGACACAGAAGGCACAGCAGTCACAAGCAGCTCTCCTAAGAGGAAGGACCATAGTGACCAGGAGCTGAGGTGGCCACAGTGTTGCAGGTCATGGCCCACAGGACTGGAGCAAGAATGTGGGCTTTCAGTACAAGAACTGCATGGAGTCACAGGACTGTACAGGGGTTGCCACCAAGAAGCAAGGGTTTGTAGACAACCACAGCATGTATCTGCTGCCCACTGAAAACATCCAGGGATAAAACACCAACCTCAAAGAGTCCCTGAGCCAAAAGGTGTAGATTTTTTTTTCAGTACCAGGGATCAAACTCAGAGCCTTGCTCATGCTAGGCAAGTGCACTATCCCTGAGTACATTCCTAGCGCTTTTTAAAATTTCATTTTGAGACAAGGCCTGTCTCCCAGGCTGGTCTCCAACTTACCATCCTCCTGCCTCGGCCTCCTGAGAAGTTGGAATTACAGGCATGCCCCACCACGTGGGACTCAGTTGTGGTTTTTGTTTGTTTGTTTTGGGGGAAGTGGTTTTTTTTGGTACTGGGGATTGAACTCAGGACCTTGTGCTTGCAGGGCAGGTGGTGGTACCACTGAGCTAAATCCTGGCCCTCATTTGTTTATTTAGTGATAGTTATCAAGCCAGTTTCAAACCCTAGGGATACAGGAAAGAAGACACTGGACATGATGCTTGCCCTCCAGAAGTGGACTTTCTCCTGGAGAGGGAACACACAGTTACCCAGCTGCCTTTCACATCACGTGTGCAGGCAGGGTGGGGACAGGTGAGGGCTGAGCCACATGGGAAAGGGTGGTGCTGGCCCAAGAGAAACCTGGCAGCCTAGCCAGGGCCTGAAGGTGAAGCATCTGTGAAGGCTGAGTTGCTGCTCAAGTCCCAGCCCCCTAGGCAAGGCCTCAGCCTAGAGCAGCCCCAGAGCCCTGGGTAGGAGGCCACGCAGGCTGCCTCAGAGAAAGACCCGAGGACAGGGACTTACTTCACAGACTCAGGGTTGACAGTGCCCCACCCCACTCACCTTTTCATCCTTTCAGAAGCAGAGCTTCCCATTCGGGGGAGGCTCTGCTTACCGACAGGCACCTGTACGTGCTGTTCTTTTGGGGTCCTATCATGGGCTCACTGCCCGACCCAAGGCTGTGGCCATGGAGGGGTGTCACAGCCTTTCTGTGGAACTTTAAGGTTTTTACGTTTAGATTGTACAATCTTTCTGTCCAATCTGGGTGCTTTGTGTCCAGTGTTTAGAGGCACTGTGTTTTGAGTTGGTGGCAGACAACACATATTGGATCCTGGGCACCATGCACAAAGGCAGGGGTGTCTGTGAAGGGGCAGATGCCTGTCATCCAGGGCATTGACATGAAAGGGACTGTATCAGTCAGTGTAATAAAGAAACAAATATAACACAAGATGTACAAATATATAAGAATTTACAAGACTGGCTCACAATGGCCACCCACAGAGTCGGGTGTGGAAGAGTACGAGGTCTGTCTGCACACTGGAGACCAAAGGATTCAGTCAGAGGCCTGGAGCTCACTGCGTGTCCTGTGTGAGTCCGTATCAGGAGGCCAGTGGGTCTGTGATGGAAGGCGGAAGAGCCTACACCCAAAGCCAGGAGATGATGTCGCGGTGAAGGCAAGACTGGAGCTCCTCCAGAGAAACAGAAGCAGATCCGTCCTTCATTTTCCCTAGAGTGTGGAAATGCCAAGCCAATTTAGTTGAGCTTGTCAAGTTGACACAATCAATCAACCATCACAGGGATGAAACAGGTGTGGTGCCCCCAACCCCCTCATCCCCAGCCCCTGCTAGCTTTGGGCATATGTCTAAGCCTTTGGCCATTCACACATGAACTTGAGTCTTTTGCTTGAGATCTGGATTGGGGTGTACATGCTGTATCTGTCACCTAACAACATGCCATGAATATTTTTCCAAGTCTTAAATGCTTACCTTTTTTTTTTGGTACCAGAGATCAAATTCAAGACCTTGTGCTTACAAGGCAGGCACGGTCCCACTGAGCTACACCCCCAGCCCCTTAAATGCTTTCTGAAATGTCATTAGTGTCCCATAATGTGG